GAGGGGGGAAGAGAGAGAGGGAAAGGGGATATGGGCTGATAACGTGTTCGTTGTCGATTTCTTCGTTGCGAAAACAAACGGCATTCTGACGACGCGCAGTTATACTCGATCAAAAGTAGAATAGATAAATTATTTGGCTGTGCAACACAGTACAAATTTATTTCCCTTTTTATTCAAAGACAAACGGCAGAGATGTTAGAGATTTAAGATTATAAAAGTGCGCTTTTGTTTATCGGAAATGTTTAAATAATAACATTTCAAATTGCTCCATGCGGCAGAATACGAAGAATACATGGTATGAATGATGACGTAGTAGTAGGAGCGAGGCACAATCCGCAGAGCTTCGGTGAAAAGTGAAAGCGCAGTCGGCAGAGCGACGGCTACATAACTGACATAATTGGCCGTCCCGTCGAAATTTAACAGCATCCGGCTCTTAGATACTTACTGTCCTATCTTGCCCCGGTTGTAGCTCGATAGCTCAAGATATAGTAAGGCTCACGACGATATATATATCGTGTGTGTGTGTGTGTGTGTGTGTGTGTGCGCGCGTGTGTGTGTGGTGTGTGTGTGGAGTGTGTGTGTGTGGTGTTGGTGTGTGTGTTAGTTATATACAAGCGGCTTGACGAGAAGCTTGACTTTGTACGTAACATTGTATGATTCATACATATGGTACATAACGCGGATTTTATTGTCATATCTGACGAGTGCGTGTAGCATATCTCTAAAAAAACAATACATCTCGATGAGTTTTTTTCCTTTTCTATTCTATCTTTCACAATCGGCGGTACACACGTTTGTAATTGGGACCGGTATGTGTTACTGTGCTCGTGATGGATCGTCCTTGAGTAGCTTTTGAGTAGTAATTGCGTTATTTCTCTCTTTTTCCGAGCAATATGCGAACGAGTCGACTCAACGGCTGCAATCGTCGGAATTTTGTCATTTTAAAACGTGAGGGATTGTTGAAGACAAAAGTAGCAATTTATTGAAGCGGCGCGCGTAACGTACATAAATATGATACACGTGTATATACACGTGGTTGGAATAGATACGCAAGGACCAAGTTTGAAACGAAATTTCCAAAATATGAAAGATATATACGATATAACAACGTAAGCCCGTTTCTCCTCATTCCGAAGATCCTCTTACATGTTCGGCTGTTCTAACCTAAAAGTGAATGTGGTGAAGTGTTAAGTGTTTTACTTAACGTCAAGTATCTTACACAGATACTTACATAGATAGGCTGGCGAGTCAGAGTTGGGGCGACTGTAATGGTATATAACTATAATATACTACGGCGGCGTATTTGAAATTTGTGCATGGAGTGACGCCGCAAAAGGTGACGCCCTTGACGGGGGACGCGCAAGGACGCGCGGCCGTGCAGGAATGCACGATGCGTGGTGAGGATTCATCGTCATGAATGAATGATCGCGGAAACGCACACAGCTCTCGCCAATCGACGATTCTGCGTCACGTAAGCATCGTTATGGTATTTTCATGCCACTTGATGCCACTTGTAGACGGGCGGTTATCTCGATTCTGAGAGCTTTCGGCCAATTATTTCGAAACTAACGAAACTAACGCGCGTGTTTCGCGTTATTATTCCTTTATACAATGCTCACAAACAAGTGCAGGCAATTGTTCCTTGCAAACGCTACGCGCCATACGGAGAGAGACGGAGAGGGAAGAAACAGACGGGCAGGGTTAATTAATTTGACCAACGAACCAATTGGTCGAGACTCGCGTATTATATTGCTCGGTGTGTATTTGTACGTTGCGCGTGTCCTTCTTCGTGAGTCTTCACGAATGATCGCGTCCATCTCTCAATCGGTCGGCATCGGTCGCGCGTCGGCGAATGTCGAATAGTATCGAATTGTGTGCGTTCTCGTGTTATTGTTTTCACAATTTTTGCTCAATGCTAAATCTGAAATAAAAGCCAGTCTAATGTCCCACTGCTCGCGTCATCCGCGTCATCCTCAAGATCGTTTGATGATTCTATAAATGGACAAATTGCTGACTAACTACAGCACACTGGTGGTTCTGACCGATCACGGAATATAGAGCAAACGCGACACGTAGGCGAGGCGAATTCTTGCATTCCGTCGATTAAGAACGGCTCGTACCAGCTTCTCGAGATTCAGTCGAGAGAGAGAGAGAGAGAGAGAGAGAGAGAGAGAGAGAGAGAGAGAGAGAGAGAGAGAGAGAGAGAGAGAGAGAGAGAGAGAGAGAGAGAGAGAGAGAGAGAGAGAGAGTATAAAGAGCCGAGATGAGCCGAGGCTGTAGGAGCGAAAAACAAAGATAGGGCAAAGATCGGCGCATTCGCGATATTCGTTTGTTACCCGAGAGTAACCCCGTTACACCACGTACACGTACACTCCTGTGAGATGTGCGTGCGATATTCAGCGTATATTCAGGCCAAATGAAAAGAGTACATGGCATGGAAGAAGAAGCGCGAAAGAATATCGCCCAGGATTGTCACCCAGCAGGTATGACAGCATGTTACAGTTCAAACGTGCGGATTGTATGCGGATGTGTGCGGGCACAACGTGTACGAATACCAGGTCTGTAAATATGAAACCGGAATTCGCCCACAGCTGGCCCTAGCTGTCAATGTAGTTACCGTCAAACCGCGTCATTAGCGCCATTTCCATTTGTTGACATTGTCTGACAAACATTTTCAACTCACAACAATACAAGTTTCGTACAACAGCATAGCGTTTGTAATAGCGTTGAACATGTCGAATTTTGTGCCTGGAAGCTACGATTTGCGGACAGCATTGATTTTCTGTTACCATTTGAAGAAAACTGCTGCAGAATCGCATCGAATGCTTGTCGAAGCTTACACGGTGAGCATGCTCTTGGTAAATCACAGTGCTTTGAGTGGTTTAAAAAATTCAGACGTGGCGATTTTGACGTGAAAAACGAAGAACGTGGAAGACCACCGAGAAAGCTTGAAGAGAGCGAATCGCAAGCATTGTTGGATGAGGATGACGCTCAAACAACGCAACAACAACTCGCGGATCAATTTGATGTGACACGAGAAGCCGTCTCCACGTACGTTTGAAAGCCATGGGAAAGATCCAGAAGATGGGAAAGTGGGTTCTGAACATGAACTGAACGAAAGACAGCAGGAAAACCGAAAAACCACTTGCGAGATGCTGCTCGCCAGGTACAAAAGAAAGTCATTTCTCCATCGAATTGCGACTGGCGATGAAAAGTGGATATATTTTGAGAATCCTAAGCGTAAAGGATCATGGGTAACTCCAGGCGAACCATCACCATCGAGATCGACTGCAAGGCCAAATCGCTATGGACGGAAGACGGAATGCTCTGTGTTTGGTGGGATCGGAAGGGTGTGCTGCTATTATATAGCTGGCTAAAACCTGGCGAAACCGTTAATACTGAACGCTACAACGACAACAAATGCTCGATTTGAATCAAGCTTCGCGTGAAAAACGACCAGAATATCAAAAAAAGCAATACAAAGTGATTTTGCTTCATGATAATGCACCATCACACACAGCAAAACTGGTGAAGGAAACGATTGAGGCGTTTAGTTGGGAAATACTTGCGCATGCGGCTTACTCACCAGACTTGCGGCTCCGTCCGATTACTACTTGTTTGCATCGATGGGACACGCACTTGCTGAGCAGCGCTTCACTTCTTACGAGAATATACGAAAATGGCTCGATGAGGCTGGTTTGCCTCAAAAGGGCAAAACAGTTTTTTTGGCGTGGCATCCACAAATTGTCAAGCAGGTGGGAAAAATGTATAGCTAGCGATGGGCAATACTTGGAATAAAATATTTTTTGTTATTTTCATACAATAAACGTGTATTTTCTATACAAAAATTCCGGTTTCATATTTACATACCTGGTAAGATGTACGAAGAAGACGACTGACATCAACTGATGTTTTTAACCATAATTAATTATTAATACGATGCGTATGTATACGCAAACACATGGACGCGCGCACAGCATTTGCACAGCTCGGTTTTGCGCATTCGCACCGGACGGTTCGAATCGCGAAACACCGAGCGACTTTTCGCACAGTCATATGTACCGACTTGCGTACACACACTTACACACTTACACCTGGCTGTGTCGTTATTCATATAAGCAACGTTGCGTACACGCCGTTGCATACTTTCCGTCGTCAGCTCCTCTCTCGCGCATGCCAACGTGTTGCATGTGCTACTCGCACAAGAAGGTGACCCCATGTAAGTACAACGGCAGCAGTTAGTTAACTGTCGTTTCGCGATAAAAAAAGCCAGGGAGAAACACAAAGACTCGTTATTTTGTATTCGGCACTATTCTTCCGTTTTGCTTCTACATTCAAATTTTCATTCAATTTCCGACATTTCACTAATGTGCACTGCGCAACAATTCCACGAAGAGAACGACGGACAAAGACTTGGTTCAGGCCTCGTCGGAATATTAAAATTATGTGCTCTTTTTAAACAAGCTGCCATTTTATTGTAATTGTTAGACAAGCAAGATAACGAGATCTATCTCGTTTTCTCCATTCGCATGTTTTGAGATATTATTATCACTGAGCTCATTAGAGGAGAAACATCCGATGCATATTTAACATTTTAACCAAGGTTTGTTCTAGAGCTTTCGCTCCAGGCAAGCCTCAATTCGTCATTTCGAGCAAACGAGTTTTCTCTCGTCTGTTCTATTCTATATAGAAATAATTGCTAATCGAAATACCGCTTGAATCAAGGGATATTGCTTCGATAGAAATTTTATTATGTACCGATAAATTTGTTGCAAAATTCATCGAAATAATAATAATAATAATAATAATACATAAATAATAACAGTACAGAATTATGAAAAATATGACATTTTTCTTACAAGATTCAACGACGTATAGTTGCGGTAATATTAACTGAGAAAATAAAAAGAGGAATGAGAGTTATTGACGTCTTTACGTCTAAACGTATCCCAAGCCCCCATTGATCGTATTTTATATTTTCCTTCTTTTCTTCTTTTCTTCTTTTTCTCTCTTTATTCTTTATTGTATATCGCTGCTCGACTTGTCACGTCTGCTAGCTAATAATATACCAAGGACACCTCGAAAAGCGGTAAGGGAAGGGGAGCGCATGCTACATTCGGTATAGTATAATAACTTTTGCATTTTTCCGCATTGCCGGTAGTAGACGCGGTAACATTTGGTAGCAGCCTTGCAAGTTATCGACGGTCTAATCGAAGATGAAATCACGTAACGCGAACTGTTTCTCGTGAAAGTTGTAGTCTTCTTCTTCTTCTTCTTTTTCTCTTCTTGTTCATCGCGTCGAATATTCGAGTTTGCACACAGTGAAAGTTATCTCGCGCGTGTTCTCTCCATCCTCCTTCCATCTCCCTGGAATCCGTAAGAATTTGTCGCCTCTCCTCGTCGCATCCTTCGAAGAACGTTCAATTGTCGCAAACGTACAAACGCTCAATATCGCGAAACTGATATGATCAAAATCATTGTACGAACTTTTGATGTCGGGTATTATCAGACACTCGGCGTACATCTTTAGACGTAAATCGTAAACAGGACAATGAGATTACCAAAATATTACTCCCAAAATAAGATTTCCATGATGTAATAATGACTTAATAATTGAGTGACTTGATAATTCAACGAATTCAGCGTAAGATTATGTCCGTGCAATTCTCTTTGGCAACATAAATTCCAACAGAAATTGTATTAATTAAAATGTTTGCGCGCGCACACACACACATACACACACACACAGAGAGAGAGAGAGAGAGAGAGAGAGAGAGAGAGAGAGAGAGAAGCAAGCAGACAATATATCTTATCGCAAATCGGTCACAATCAGAACGTGTGAGACAAAGCACAAGCAAGAATGATTAGAAATCGATAATCTTTCTAGTTTGGGAAATACAAAGAATTCATCAAACAATGCGACATGCATATGTATATATATATATATATATATATATCCATCGCGGTTGCGCGTACAGTTCTCATTTCGTCCTCTGCTTTCAGTCTGACTGGTCAACAAGGGGGATTCACAAACCTGAATGGATACGTCAGTGTCGTCGCTCCTAAAAACTCGTGGCTTACCTGCGTTATGGCTCCTCCTGCTGTTATCGCCCGTTGTTCTCGCCTCCTACAGTATCGGTGTCGGAAGAGCCGACAGCACAGGACCAACCGCAGAGATCGTCTTTGTGAGTATCGCACAATACGTACGATATTGTACGTCGTAAAGGTACATTGTAGATTGAAACGTTACGAGTGATTCCCCGAAACCTTCCCGAAATAAACCAATATTTCGCAAAATATATTGAATACTGAAAATACAAAACGTTCAATTGGGAATCTATTGGGAATATCGTTCAGGAATGTCACAACGCGTGTGTACGTTTGCAACTTGAAGATACAACGTAGAATAGAGAGTCTTGTTAGAGAAAAAAGTCTTGTTAGTTGCGAAATGATTATTCACAAGATAGACCGATGATAAATGACGAGAGTGAATGACGAGAATGAAGAGATCGAGAAGAAGGAACGAAACAAGTGAAAAACAAAGAAGGAAAATGCCACGCGTGATGATGATTCTGTGCTGATTTCAGATGGGATATGCGAAAATTGATCAGAAGGGAAGTGGCCTTCATCTACGGACGTTCTCCAGAGCTTTTATAATTGACGATGGCGTGGAAAGATTCGTGTTTGTCAGCGTCGATTGTGGAATGATAGGAAACGACATCCGGCAGGAGGTAACGTATACTTATCCTTAATCGTATTCGATTGCATATCGATACAATCGTTATATTCTGTGCGACTGTTGATTTTGTGTGAATCTCGCTTCGCGTATGTGAATTGTAAAGAAAGTATAACGCACTGCCGCTCAAGATTATTTAGATTTATCTGTACCTCAATAATAACGCGTAAATTTTTACAACGTTTCGTGAGTTAAAATCTCTTCGGTACATTCGGATCCTCATTAGTTCTTCAATGTTTCGTTGAATGTTCAAAGTGTTCCTTGACATCTTGTTTGATTGACGACGATTCGATGCGTTTGAACCGATCTTGTTTACTCTTCTCCTCCGAGCTATTCCTAGTAGGAAATTGTCAGCTTATTATTTAAAAGCTTATCGTTTACCATGAGCCAGAATAGAAATTCAATGTGTGTTGAACAATGTGCGGAAACCTATAATCTCTTGAAATTTGTCAAAGCAGGAGCGAAATTTCGACGGAGTCGAAAATCGCGAGCGTGCGAGAATGATGCACCTTTTCGTGCATAATCGTATTATTATGCTGCGAGGTGTTATCTCGCGATTGCTACCGCCGTCGAGATATTAAACGACGCAGTCCAACTTTCAACTTGCAGGTACTGCGCAAATTACGGAGCAAATTTGACGACATGTACACGGAGAAGAACGTGATGATCAGCGGCACGCACACTCACTCGAGCCCCGGTGGTTTCATGCTGGACATGCTTTATGACCTGACCGCGTTTGGTTTTGTCAGGGAGACGTTCGACGCTATTGTCAATGGCGTAACAAAGGTGAGAGAGCTCTCTCGCACAATCGCGAGAGAGAGAGAGAGAGAGAGAGAGAGAGAGAGAGAGAGAGAGAGCGATCCGATTAAAGATAACAACTGACGATCGTTTCAACATTTCAGAGCATCGAACGTGCTCACGACGCTGTTGTGCCTGGGAAAATCTTCATTGCTTCTGGTGAAGTTTCAGGCGGCAGTATTAACAGGAGTCCGCAGGCGTATCTCAATAATCCGAAATCGGAAAGAGACAAGTGAGTGAGATGAACTCAGATGAAAGAGGTGTTTTCTCGTCCCTTTTCTTTTCTCTTCGTCTTTTTCCCTCCCCTCTCTCTCTCTCTCCCCCCTCCCTCACGACGACGTTTGCGGCGATGACGTTTGCGCGATATTACGAACGTACGCTTTGCACTCGCTCGATTCACGAAACGCAGTCAACCATGATTGACAACGACTGCTCGTATGGCATTCGTGAGGGGAACAGAGTGCAGCAGAGTGTGTGTGTGTGTGCGCGCGCGCGCGTTCATACAGATCGTATATCCGATATTACATATCGATCACTCGCCATCTTCCTTTTGCTTCTTTTCGTGAAAAGAGCACGTGCATAAAATTAAAGTTCTCATCTGTTTCCAGATACAAGCACGATGTAGACAAGATACTGACGCAAATACAATTCATCGGTGCCGACGATGAGCCCCTGGGTGTTATAAATTGGTTTGCCGTGCATCCAACCAGCATGAACAATACCAATCATTTGGTTTCCAGTGACAACGTGGGTTACGCCTCGATCCTGTTTGAAAAAATGATGAATAACGACACCACGGTCGGCAAGGTGAGATTTCTCTCTGGTGGATATTATCGCGATGGTGGCGATATACCGCGTGAAGTCTGAGACGCTCGTTCCATTGAAGAAAATCGATCTTTTGGGACGCGTCTATTTGAATTGGAACGCGTAAAGAATGAAGAAGATATCGCGAATATTCCCTGAAAACGAGACCGTCGCTTCGAAACGTCCGTGCAATCGCGGATCCAAATTCGGAGCACATGGACATCACGTTGAGATTAATCATCTCAGTGGGCGCTCGCAGTTGCGCAAAGTTGCGTGCAAACAACGGTTTCGCCGGAACGGTTTGTTGTCCCTCCTACTCTTGGGGGAGGATCACGTGTGTGTGTGTGTGTGTCGTTACTTTCTTTTTTCTCTCAAGCTGAATCCAAATACAGCGCTTCATGCGCTGCCTACAACGCGCTTGTAGTACTGCGTTGTATAGAAACACCGCTATTTCGTCTATGCGATATTTATAATAACTTTTGAACGACTCATTAACTTACTCATTTAAATCAGCTGAGAATCAGCTGAGGAAAAGAAAACGGAAAAGGAAAGGGAAAGAAAAAGGAGAAAGAGAGAAATGTCGAATGCGCCCATCGCGCCACGGCGCCACGGAGCAAATTGGAAATATACGTGACGCGCGATGGAACGCGCGATGCCAGTTGTAATATATACATGCCATGATACAATTCGCCTACTGCGTATCGCATACTGCGCGATATTACCGCGATTAATCTGCCTCGTGAGAATATCCGAAAGCTTATGGATAACAAGGATTAGTTGTGCAACATTGTTTCCGCGCAAAATCAACCGCAAAATCAGCCTATTCGTGCAACACGATCCGATTAAGCTATAAATACATGTGTATCGATGATATCGCCACAGTCAATATAATCGTACATAATTGTATGAAACCGCTTCATCTTTTCGCATATGCTTGGTACTTTACTTTAACCCGTAACTGCTGTGAAGCCATTTTAAGTACGCGCACACTGTTCACCGGTCAAATTGACCGGTAGGAAATGATGAATATCTCGACAAATAACACGACCACACAACTGCGCGTATATCAGTCGACTGACATTCAGAATGTAAGAAAATACACTGACGGATGAATACGCAAGCTAGAAAATTAACCACGTTATTTAAATTTCAAATAGTGCAATGGTCAAATTGACCGGAGAACAGCAGTTACGGGGTTAAAGAAAAGAAAGAATGAAAGATGAGACTGTGATGAGAGGTGATTGAACGTAACCAATTGGCGACAGAATCGCGGGAAGGGGGGAGGGGGGGAAGGAAATTAAAAGAATAACAATGGAATAAGCGGAATGAAGCATGCGTTTCAAGCGTCGTGATGTTTCATCATTTTTCTTCTTGACGTCGTTAGGGTCCCTTTGTGGCGGCTTTCGCATCAACTAATCTCGGCGATGTTTCGCCAAACACACGTGGGCCAAAGTGCGAGTTCTCTGGACAAAATTGCTCCGAACAGTACACGTGTCCCGGGAAAAACGAGATGTGCTTCGCCTCCGGCCCCGGCAAGGATATGTTCGACAGCACTAGTATTATCGCTCACGAGCTTTACCAGGAGTCTAAGGTAAGTACGCCGTTTCTTGCTCTATTGTTACCTCTAGCTTCTCTCTTCTTTTCTTCTTGTTTTCTCTCATCCGTGTTTTCCTTCCTGTTTTTCTCTTCCCTCGCCCCTCGCCTCTTTCCATTTTCTCTCTGCTTGGCACTTGTTATCCTCAGTCTATCCATCTTCGATGTATGTCACGTCGCGTATATAAAGTACAACTAGCAATTTCAGATGACACTTGAGCCCGAAATAGAATGATCCTAAAATGATCCATCGTATCCGCTTTAAGAAGTCGAATAAAAAATTTAATGTAATTTCTCTTCAGCGCCACTCACGCGCGTCTCGTAAACTCTAGAACGAGGCGTTAACAGGAAGGAGATAATCCGATTATCTAACCGTTATCGTGAAAATGAAACAATTGGAAAGCGTGTGCGGGGATTTCATGGTCTTGGTAACGCGAGCAGGTTTAAGCGCTCGACGAAGCGTCACTGAAGAGAGTTGGAATTAAACGCATTATTGCTTAAATCGAAAACCATTCTCGCGTGCTTCCTCGCGCGTCAATTTACGCGTGTCACTTGTCAATTACGACGTCCATGATATGCGAAACTTGTTGGCGCAATCATCGAGATGGTTATCGGACGAATCAAGTAACTTTGCGCATAGTACGATTCATCGAGAGAGAGAGAGAGAAAGAGAGAGAGAGAGAGAGAGAGAGAGAGAGAGCTGCATCAAGCTGAGCTTAATTAAGAGCAAATAATTGGCCGTTGTATCTTATAATGAGAGAAATGTCTCTGTTATGTTTCATATGAATACGATACTTGGCGCATAGTTTCGTTTATCAAAGAATGGATCAGGGAAGTGATCCGCGTTACGTCCAGGCGGAATAAAATGAGATAAACATTGAAAACATACGTACAAGGGCTTTTTATTGTATTACTATTTTATAAAGGATATTTTATTGTATTACTATTTAGGCACAAGGAGATATTTTTTGTATCGTTGTATCGTTAGTGTTAGCGGCTCCCTTTTATTATATAAATTCGACCATTGAACATTTGCATGAGATTTCCAAGCCACAAACTTTATTTCGGGACAGGTACGGTAGAATCGTTACACCGAGGTTGTTACGAGTTTCGCACTTTCGCACTTTCGCACTGCGATATAAAAGATTTGACATCTACTTTCCTTATCTTTAACACGAGCTATTTCCTAATGGATGATTTTATTTGCATCACTTGGTATGTCTAGATACACTAGATCTCGCTTTGTTCTCTCTTGGATTCTAATCGGATTCGTTCACCTCGATGGCGCGATGGCCATGTATTATCCTAAACTTTCAGGTTCTCAAAACACTTTGTCGTGCACTGTCGTACACAGATCACTCTGAAACGTTTAAATCGATACGAGCTGCCAAATTATTTACATGTACTCTCTTCTCCGTAACTATTTCTAAATTATTCACTATAATAATTGTAATGTAACGAGTATTCTAAAATTGGGCGCACGAGAGTGAGAGAGAGAGAGAGAGAGAGAGAGAGAGAGAGAGAGAGAGAGAGAGAGAGAGAGGGGTGTTCTGTTGCAAGAACTCGCGACTTTTTCGTCGAGATACGTCGAAGACGTCGGTGAAATGTCCGCTATTCCGATATTCTTACATCGCCACAGCGCCTCTCGCGCATTGCTTATATAAGTCGAGAGAGCTCTGATACGCGCGGTGTCACATCTCGCATGTCCAATCCGGTCGCAAATCAATCTGGACGCTTCTTTCTTTCTCGAAAGGAATATCGGTGCAGTTTCGCGATTCGTTGGACACATATACGGAGAGAGAGAGAGAGACAGAGAGAGAGAGAGAGAGAGAGAGAGAGAGAGAGAGAGACAGAGAGAGAGAGAGAGAGAGGGAGAGAGAGAGAGAGAGAGAGAGTACCAAATAATAAATAGATAAAACTACCTGAACTGCGCCGTGTAATGCAAAAAAATAATCAATATTCGCGCTACCGCTGCCGCTTCTGTTGAATGTTGAATCGAGCATCTCGGAAAGAGCATCAGGAGACAAAATAAAGAAGAGCAAGATCGTGCTTGTACTTGTTTCATTAGTGGCACATGGTGAAAAGTGATATTATTCTCGTTTTTATTGATCCAGGCGGTAAAAATGAGCGAGCGTATCGACAAGAGCGACATGATGTTTCGATAATCTTGTCTATTCGCGTCTAGTTGCCGGGTAAACACGTTGATCGAAGTTGAGTTGATTGAGATTACATACGCCGATGCCCTTTAGGGCGCGATTAGACGCCCGATTCGAATCTATTTACACGACGGTTGAGTCAATAGTGCTTCTCGTAGTCGTAATTGTTGTAATACGCCGGCGAGATATACTTGACTACCGGAACCGGCTTCGGGTGCAACGCCGGTCCCACCTTTTTCACCACAGCGTTGAATCCGTTGTGGTCGTCGGCCGTGTACTCGACGATCCGCACACTTCCGTCGGGCTCGTTGACGCTATACGAGCCGTGAACGACGTCGCCGTCGCGCACCTCGTGTTGCGTTTTCACGTCGCCAGTATGGGGATCGTGTACGCCGTAATTAAAGGTGTATCTCGGATGCGACTGCAATGAATTTAAAGAGGCGATTAAAAAGGCGAATTGAAGACGCAAATTTGCGATTAAAGAGAGACGCTGCTCCCTCTCTCTCTCTCTCTCTCTCTCTCTCTCTGTTCTCTTTCCCATCAGACAAGTCAACTTTGCAACGTGTAAGATTTCACAGCCGTATCGTCTCTCTCTGCGTAATCACTGAGGACCGAAATTCATATCTCTTTGACCTACGGCAAACCCTTACTACCGTATTATTTGCAACCTGTGCTCAATTTGTTTGTGCGTAGTTGTAACTTTGCGTACACAAAAGTACAATGATAGTCTATACGTGCGCGCACATTCTTTCGTATCTCGACGTTACTCGGGGGTGGCGGGAACGCCACCTGAAACGACAATTAACATCGCGAGAAAGCGACGGCGGTAGTAAGCGAAAGCGACGCGGAAAGAGAGCCGGCAATAAGACACACGAGCGAGGATAGAGGAAGCAACACAGTTACAAAGACGTCAGAGAGTTTTCCAGAGACGGTAATCTAAATTAACATATATGCACCCAAGCGTCTGGAAATATCCGTTAAGTTTCCGCTCATAAAACACGCGAGTTCTCGAGTGCCGGCACACACAGAACGGAATCGTCGTGGATTTGAAATATGAAGAAATCTCTTCTTTCTTTCGCAATTAGAAAACGAACGAACAAAAACGGCGGAACCGTTAGCACATCTACTTAAAGTTACTTAAAGTTAAGATGAAGAGATGCATATATCGCGTATATCGCGGACGAAGTCGCGGGCGGCGCGGCGCTTGTTACGCACGATAATATCATATCGAGCTGGAAAGGGAGCTTTCGGAGGAAAGATTTGATGAGAATTTTCCTCAACTCAAGCAAACGACAACGATCGAACGAACGCGATTGATCTTCGCGATTCGCAAAGCGCGATCAGCGATCAGCGATCAGCGATCAGCGATCAGCGCGAGCGCACCGAGCTGACCTTCAGCACCTCGCTCCTCGGCCTCGGCGCTTCGCGCGAGGGAGAAGCGAGGGAGAAGGAGAACGAAGGAGAAGAGGAGAAGAAAGAAGAATGAGTGCTCACGTAGTAATCGTGGTCGTGATCGGTGTCGTGCTTGTAACCATGCAGGCCGTGATCCAGAGTCGCGTCGTCGACGTGCACCGGTGAAGCGGACACCGCGTGCACCGGGACCGCGACCGTCGGCAGAACCTTGTATTCCGCGGCTCCCAGATATCCATCGAGATCGCTGTAGTCGCTGTAGGACAGGCCGTGTCCGCCGCCGTTGTAGCCGCTGAGAACAACCGCGTTACCGCACGCCAGGGCGGCACAGAGCAACGAAATTGTCTGAAAGACACAATCCTCTGTCGTAAGTTCTGCCCTCCCGCCCTCCCGATCCTTCCCGATTCTCTCTACGATTATTTGAAATTCAAACGACTTTCCCTCGTTAAAACGACCAGCGCGTCGTGGATCGAAATTTTAGAGTCGGATCGGGGGAGGGTAGACCGGAGGGAGGGTCGATCGAGGGAAAGTTGCCGCGAGATACGCGACTCTCGTGTGTCTCGATGCTTCGTCCTGTCCACTTTTACACCGGGACCTTGTTCCCCGCAGGCCGATAGATCGTAAGACAATTTATAATACCGGAAGTGGTCAGGGAATCCGCTTCCTCATCCGTCGCGATCCGAAACGATACACACAGCGTGTATGTACAAAAAAGGTTTACCACACCCTCGGGGCAAGTATACTGGCACTTTGTGCCTTGGGAAGCCACGTGATCGTGACAGGTATAACAGTTTTAATGTAACGGTAGAAATTTTTCAATCGCAAACAGAGGAATATGAAGAAATGATTCGACACTTGAGAGATTCAGAATTTCGGAAATAGAATTGGAAATTGACCAAATTTGCTGGTAAAGAGGCGACTTTGCGTCTCATTAAGAGCTTCCAAGTTTCCAAAGGAGCAATTTTTCGCTGGTCATTGATTGCATTTTACAATCGTCGTTGACTCGACAAGGGTCGGAGGAATAATTTCAAAGTTGCCTTTCTCGATTTCTCGGCACGCAATGTTATGTCGAAATTTCTATCCCTCTGTCGCGCGTGCATTTGCGATTGGCGCGCGCGCGAGACGAGAGAGAGAGAGAGAGAGAGAGAGAGAGGAGAGAGAGAGAGAGAGAGAGAGAGAGAGAGAGGAGAGAGAGAGAGAGAGAGGAGAGAGAGAGAGAGAGAGAGAGAGAGAGAGAGAGAGAGAGTGAGGAGTGAGTGAGGAGAGAGAGAGAGAGAGAGAGAGAGAGAGAGAGAGAGAGAGAGAGAGAGAGAGAGAGAGAGAGAGAGAGAGAGAGAGAGAGAGAGAGAGAGAGAGAGAGAGAGAGAGAGAGAGAGAGAGAGAGAGAGAGGAGAGAGAGAGAGAGAGAGAGAGAGAGAGTGAGTGAGTGAGTGAGTGAGAGAGTGAGTGAGAGAGAGAGAGAGAGAGAGAGAGAGAGAGAGAGAGAGAGAGAGAGAGAGAGAGAGAGAGAGAGAGAGAGAGAGAGAGAGAGAGACAAAAGGTAACCCATCGCATCAGGATAATAGATAGCGATGCCGGAAGCGGCTCTCGACAGCGACCGGCGCGAAAGATCGACGCACACTCACACTCGCAGCAATCACTCTCAAGCACCTACACCCGTTCATACCACACTCGTGATATCGCGAATCTCCTCTTCGTACCTTCAGCATGATACCTTCCACGTTTCAGCTGTTCCGCGTTTACTGTATGCAAGCGACTGTAGCGCAAAGTCACTGATAGCATTATTCCCGGACGATGGTCTTATATTCATCTCCCACTCACGATGCTTCCGTTCCGGGCAAAAGCTCTCGGCCTCGTGCCGCCGCCACCACCATCACCACCACCACTACTCTACGACCCTACCCTCTCTGAAGGATCTTTTTGCGTGTGAGAAAACACACGACACGCTCGTCCACACGCGGCTCACCTTCGCCGCAGCGAACGTCGCGTCATGACGGTACATCGCGGAGTTATTCACTCGTGCGAGAGGGAAAGAGAGAGAGAGAGAGAGAGAGAGAGAGAGAGAGAGAGAGAGATTCAATTCGGGATCAATTCGTCTATCATCGTTTATCATCGTTGTCGTCATTATCGCGCTCGATTTTGGCCGAAGGAACGAACGGAACGAAAGGTCGCTGGATAGTTTCGCGAGATAGTTTATCGATAAAATGCGCGGCCGCTGATTAACTGAACGCGCGGATGATTGTCCGCCGTTGCTCATGGACGTCACTCGTGCGAATCCTGCAGTTAGACGTTAAAGATGCTGCGAATTGATTCCAGCGATCGTCAGGGTCGATTGTGTCGAAAGGATAGATGGAGGAAGGTAATCGTCGACGGATAAACCTTATTTCTCGGCTTGTTTGCTCCGCATGCATGCATGCATGCATGCATACATACATACGCACACGCGAGAATCCGCCATTCATTGCAATGAATACCGAAACAGCGGTAGAGAATAGCCAAATGAATGTAAAATTAAAATCCACCGGTCGAATTAAACATTTCACACGAGCGATAGTTTAGCTATTTGATTTATTATTGCCGACTGTTACTTATTCGATAAACATGTATTTAACAACACTACGTGAAAAAACCTTTTGCGTGAAAAATCTCTCATTTCCCTTCCTCTCTCTCTCTCTCTCTCTCTCCCCCTGTCTTTCATGGAGAAATTTCAATAACGTTACGCAAATATTAATTTTGAAATTTATTTCACATGCAGATTCCAGTTATCTCGCTGGAAATTTATGGAATGTGATTTTCAAGCGAAATATTTTCGTTTCGTTAACAATGCGAAAGATTTTGAATCGGACGCATTATGAGCGTTATTAAAATTCAACTTGCAACGCATTGTTTGCGTAAGGAGAATTTTAACCGGATGTTAGGGAGTAAAGTAACATTTATCAAATATAAATCGAGTCACAATCGATTAACAAACCCGATTCATTATATAGAAAGCCTCTTATTGTTCGGTTTAATTGCAAACTACGGCATAAGGACTACACGCAAATACGGTCGATTGCTTATGCATCATTGTTCCTACGTGTGCAAGCATTGCACCACGTAGTTGGCGTAACTCGTCTTCTCAACAGAAGCATCTTTCACTGCGTGACTTCATGGTTAAATTAGAGAGGTCCGTGCTTTCTTTTTCATTCTCTCGTCGGTTTCTCTCTCTCTCTCTCTCTCTCTCTCGCTCTTTCTTCCGAGAAATCTGCTACACACGAGAGAGAGAGAGAGAGAGAGAGAGAGAGAGAGAGAGAGAGAGAGAGAGAGAGAGAGAGAGAGAGAGAGAGAGAGAGAGGGAGAGTAGCGAAATCAACACCAAATTTTGCCGAGCGTGATAAAAGCACACGTTGCAAAATATCCTGAAGATGGGCGATATATTTCGCGTGCTTATGCGAGCGACTCGGGCGCGCGAAATAACGTTCCTCGGTTACGAAAATTGCGAAAATTTCACGTGACCTCGTGACGTAATCGCAGAGATGCAAGGAATTAAATTTCGAAACACATCGCGCTTAGACTCGAAGAAATTTGTAACGTGTAATCATCACAATCGTAACGGAACTGATACGTACGAAATGCGTACGAAGCTTTCTCGTCTTACTCGGGATGAACAGTCTGTATACTCTTCGTTGCGTCGTACGTAAAGTACGCAAACACACAGCGATCTCATTAATTCGAGAACTGAGAACTGAGCTTTCGGCACTGGGATCCAAGCATTTTATTAAGACATTTTCCGTTTCACAATCACGCAACGGATCACGTTCCGTTCTTTTGAAGTTAAAAGACACGAAAGATACGACGATGTTTGAGAAGGAAACAGGAATACATACTTGTAACAATAATTCGTAGATGTCCCGCACACTTTGTCCCGAGGCGACGTTCAAGGAGTGGTCAGCTTCTGTTCTACTCGTCGGCGTTGCTTGCGCAATTCCTCAACAAAGCCCATTTGTCCCGGCGAATGAGCAATGGTATTTCTCTACGCGCGTAAGGTATACATCATCGTCGTTCCGGCAACGGCACCGTTGAAAAAGGTCGGTCCCGCCCGAGTGATTAGCAGCGCGATCTATCTGGATCAAGATCATAAGCGACAAAACCTTTCGATCTCAGCCCAAATTCTTTTGTCGTACATTTACGTAACGTAACTCTAGCCGCTCTTATCGAGCTCAATATCGAGATCCGAGATTGCGTGACTCTCGATTTACTTTTCTACGAAATGTGTCGAAATCTGTGTGTGTGTGTGTGTGCGATTTTAGCAACTTGGCTCAAGCACGTGAGTCTGTGTCGTGTGATTTTCATCGATTTTATTTAATCGATCGTCAATCCCATCGATCGTTTTCGACCCGCTTTATATATGTTATTCTTCTCATTTTATTCATTCAGTCTCCATCACGAGCGCAAAAGTCGCGTAGGCCGCGAATCGCGCTCCAAATAAAAATTTCTGTACATAATTTGGCACACCGGTACGCCCGTATAATAGACCACTTTCGCCACTGTTTTCCAGTGTGACCAGTGACATTGTCCGCTCGGACGAATTACAATTGAAGGTTACCCGCTTCCGCGGACAATTTTGTTAACTGTCGTCGCTTTCTTTCGACTGCGTTTCTTACGCAGTCGCTTGTTACTCGCGAGCGACAAAAACGACGACGACGACGACGACGACGACGACGACGACTATGGCGATAGAGTTTCACGAGGAAATTTGGTCTCACGCTGAATCAAGTTCTAGATCGTCTACTTGAGTATCTCACGAGGTAACAACGACAACGACGACGACGACGACGACGACGACGACGACGACGACGACGACGACGGAGCGTCGCAGGTTTTCAGAGATAATTTATTCCGCGCGACTTACCAGACCGCGCGGCTTTCCGACGAATCTACTTGAGAGATAAGTGGAACCATGACTAGACTGATCAAGGAGAAACAGTTTTCTTCGAGCGTTTTAACCGTGGAAAAAAATACTCCAAGTTGAACGAAGGGTCGTTAAACATGCCGGGAAATAATGTACGTACGCAAACATATAATACATACATGTAAACGGTGGGTGGGCGGGCGGGGGGGGGGGCGGGACGATTGCAATACCGTGGAAAAAAAGACATGGACGTAGAACAAAATTCATTGACGTTACCGTTGACATTTTTCAGACTGTCACGATCGAAAATAGCGCAAGAACAAATAGCGGCGGCAAGGCGACAGTGTCGACGAGATCGATCCGTTTATCCGTCGCGCGGTCGCGGTGTGATGTGTGTGTCAGCGTCCGCTCGCTGATTGCAGCTAAAGAATTATGTAATTCTTCGCGCGTCCTTCGCCCGGTCGCCAATTTAGATGACAAAATAGGGCGTAACCATTGATGACACGTAACAATACACTTAAGAATCGTAACGATCTTTCTCAGCGGATGCAGCGCATTAGTTACCTCGCGTGAAATGCATGCGCGGCTTCTGAGAGATTCTGTTGAAGACAAGAGCGAACGCGCCTTACCGCGAGGAATGGGATTCCCTCTATACATATGACACAATTGTGTAACTGTTTACTGTGCATCGTCATTACGCTTAGTAGTCACTTGCACGAGAGAGTTTCCTCCTCATCGTAACAACAGCGTATTCCAAAGTATTTCAATCAAAAACCTGTGGTTTATTGTTTAGATATTATATTAGCTTTTTCGTCGTGTATAGTGTTTAGTGAAGAAACTCGCTATTTATTTGGACACGTGCGTGCACTGTTTCGGTACTGTGCTGTGATTTTTAGCTTTCAATTTAGTCAGGCTGATACTCGGGCTGATGTTGCGGGCGCGAACCAGTGTGATCCATCGAATATCTCTCACCGGCTGCACAACTACGTCGACTCCCATTTTCGGAACGCGACGCGAGCGGTGAAACTCGTGTGGGGGGCGGGGGGTGAGGGGTGGTACCCCCGCGTAGATACGCGAGAATAATAAGAATTTTCGCACGTCCCGTTAGAGCAGAAAATACGAACAACGCGTCTCATTCGCGAATAAAGCTGTGTGGCATTCTCTCAACTGAGCCATACTTTGTTGACGAACCAAATACGGAATCTCTTGGCATTCGACTAGGTTATTTCGACATGTCGTACCAATATTAAATATCACGTCTCGGCTCGGTAAATATGGGTCTGTTAAATCAATACGAAATATTGTACGAAATATTGTACAACATCGCCGCTCGCGAAAATGATACAGAGAGCTTTTTTGGCATATGCCATTCTCGCGACTGCTCACATTGCCTCACTCACCTAATTTTTCATCCGACAAAGAGCAAGGAAAACGAAAAGAGAAAAAGGTAAAAAGAAGAGAGAAAAAAGAAAAGAATACAGAATGGGATTACGTTTGTCACGCAACATCATGCGACACGGCGTGCACATCTTACCGTCTTTCCGCAAGACGGACTTTTTACCATTCAACGAGTCTATTTTGCCATCGAGAAACTCCCTCCCCGTCCAGCGCTCCCCTCCGCAGCCTGGAAGAGGCTCCACTACCTAGAGACTCCGCGTCTCCGCGTTACTGTTCCAACAGCCGCGAAGCCGTGAAAGGTTTACTCGTGATCGTAATGCCAAAGAGGCAGAGATACACACGCTCGATTATACCTGAACGAGAACAAGCGGTGCACGAGTTGCGCGAGCGCGAGCTGTGAACGATGCGAACTGCGCGACGGAAAGTAGCATCTCGAGGTATCAAATTCAAGGACTTGAAGAACGTGTACGAAGGAAGAGAGAGAGAGAGAGAGAAATGTCTGGTTGAAATAAAAAAATTCTTTTATAAAATATCAACGATGGAGAAATTTCGCGTTTCGAGCTATCAGAATTTAGTCTAAATTATCCAGATTTCTGGTTAGCTTTAAAACTGGAAATCTGATATTTTCAATCAAAATTTCTAAATCGTTTATATTTCGCCAGAAAACTGACTTATTCAGCCAGACATTTTTCTCTCCTACTGCAGCAGTAGGAGCGAGCATCATGTCGATATATAAACGAATTGTATAACTACAACTGCAACGGCTGATTTTGAACGTCGATGATTGCCACTTGATTACTGGCAACTGCAACTTGCAATTTTATCCTTTATCCGACCGAGACGTTTTTCATTTTTAATTTTCTCTTCTTTTTTTCCTTCTCTCTTGTTCTTGCACCGAGCACCGTATATAATACGCAAAGATTCGGAGACAAATTGTCGGGCCCAGTGATATTACGTATATAATGAGATCATGATACGATGAGAGGGACGCGTGGAAGGATGAAAGTCCGATCCGGTTTCCGTTTCACGGGGCTCTATAACTTGTTGTATCGTATCTATAACTTGTATTCTGCGTCTGACGCGCGACAACGAGAAGCGTCCTTTTTCTTCTCTTGCTCTCCTACTGTCACACTTGTGTCGATCCATGACGTTTCGCGCGAGGTGACGCGACGCGAACGCGACGGCCGCGGCGCGGGCGGGCGGTCGGTGTATTGCGCAACGTATTGTTTACGAGCCGCATTTCAATACAATCGTGTGAGAAACGTGGGGAAGAAATGTCCTCCGACGTACACCTTGGCACACCCCGA